TACCGAATTTCAAACTCTACTACAAAGCCATAATCATCAAAACAGCTTGGTACTGGCAAAAGAACAGACCTGAGGACCAATGGAATAGAACTGAAGACGCAGAAATGAACCCCCAGACATAGTCACCTAATCTTCAATAAGGGAGCTAAAAAATAGAATGGAAGAAAGACAGCCTCTTCAGTAAATGGTGCTGGCAAAATTGGTTAATCACCTGTAGAAAATTAAAGCTAGATCCTTATATATCACCCTGCACCAGAATCAACTCCAAATGGATCAAAGACCTCAAATTCAAAACAGACACCCAGAAAACAATACAGGAAGGAATAGGAGAAACTCTAGGGCTCCTTGGCACAGGCTGAAATTTTCTTAATAAGACCCAGAAACACAACAAATCAAAGGAAGGTTGGACAAATGGGATTGCATGAAACTGCAGAGCTTCTGCATGACAAAGGACATAGCTAGCAAGATCAATAGAAAGCCCACGGATTGGGAGATCTTCACTAGCCATACAATGGATAAAGGTCTCATATCTAAAATATATTTAGAACTCGAAAAATTAAATCCCCCAACAACAAATCCTCAAAGAAACAACTGCACGATTAATAAGTGGGCTAAAGACTTAAAGAAAATCTTTTCTGAAGAGGAAATAAGAATAGCTAACCTCTCTGCCATAAAAGAAATGCAAATCAAAACAACATTGAGATACCACCTCACCCCAGTTAGAATGGCTATAATCAAGAACTTTAATAACAACAGATGCTGGAGGGGATGTGGACAGAAGGGAACCTTACTGCATGGTTGATGGAGTGTAAACTTGTTCAACCACTTTGGAAAGTAGTATGGAGATTCCTCAAAAGACTTCACATAGAGCTCCCCTATGACCCAGCAATCCCACTTTTGGGCATTTATCCAAATGATCACAAAGGAGACCATACTAAAGCTACCAGCACAACTATGTTTATTGCAGCATTATTTACCATAGCTAAGATATGGAACCAACCCAGATGCCCCTCAGTAGATGAATAGATCAAGAAAATGTGGTATATGCCTTCATCAGAAAGAATGACATTGCCCCATTTGTTAGGAAATGGAAAGACTTGGAAAAAATTATATTAAGTGAAGCAAGCCAGGCCCAAAGAAACATTGGTCCCATGGTTTCCCTTATTTTCAATAACTAGTATATGTCTGGGACAAGCAGAAAAGGTCAGATAAGATGATGCTAAACGAAATGAACCCCAAGATAAGGACACAAGTGGTATTTTTCTTTCTTGCTATTGTTTCTAATGTATTAATAAGGTACCCCGTGATTTTTTTGATGCTTTGTATGTCCCTCCCCCATGGTATAACCCCTGTTTTCACTGTATTTGTTGTTGGTATAATTTGGGGAGGGGAAGGGAAAAAAACAAATTGTTTAAATAGGGATACAGTTTGACCCATTGCAACAATGAGATGTACAAGATGCTATGTAAAACTTTACAATTTAGGAGGAGGAGGGGTGCAGTTGTGGAGATGGGAGGGAAGGGATGATAGGGAAAAAACAAAAGAGGAGGCAACAATGCTTGATGAGAAATGTACTTATTACCTTGCTCATGTAATTGTAACCCCTCTGCACAGTATTTTCACAATAAAAACTTATTTTAAAAAAAGAAAACACTAAGAAAGACAATTAAAAATATTAATGAGCTAAGAATCCACGAAAAGAGAAAAACTCAGGAAACAATTTAAATAGAAGAGCAGAAAATAACAAGATAGAAAATAAATGATAGGATCAAATCAAGACTGGTTCTTCAAAAAGACATAAAAACAAACATTCCCAGCATGAATGAAAAAAGATTAGGAATGAAAAATTGTGTAAAAGTAGATGTCATTAAGATTTCCAAAGGAGAAGAAGTGTTCTGGAAAATGCCCAATTCAAAATATAGGGCAGAGAGTATAATTGCTGTGTTTGGCTGGGAACTGGTATTAGCAGGAAGAATGTTATTAAAAAAAAAAAGGCTTTGAAGACAGAGGCCTAGGGAGAAGTCATACCTCTTAAAAAGATAATCTCAAACAAATAGGATAGATGTGGATCATAATAAAAATGAAATCTGAAGCCAGATTTTAGCACAGAGGTTTCCACCCTGTCTGCTTACTAGAATTACATGGGAGGCATTATAAAACCCGAATGGCCAGACCAAACTTCACCTCAGGGCTGAGCTACGATTACGATCTCAAGTATCTATAAGACTTAAAATTTTTTATAGAAGCCGGCATTGGTGGCTCACAACTGTAATCCTAGCTACATAGGAGGCTGAGGTCTGAGGATTGTGGTTCAAAACCAGCCCAGGCAGAAAAGTCCTCCTGAGACTCTTATCTCCAACTAGCCACTCAAAAACTGGAAGTGGTGCTGTCGCTCAAATAGTAGAGTGCTAACCTTGAACACAAAGAAGCCCAGGGACAGTTCCCTGGACTGGCAAAAAAAGTTATCTAGAGGCTTTTAACAGTAACAAATGTGTACAAACAGGAATTAAATCTGTTTTGTGTGCTTTCTGTTATTTTAATCCTAATAAGTTCCTGACCATACTTCAGTTATTTTCTCTTTCCAGACCCAAACTTGCATATTTAAGAAATATAAATTGTATTAGAAACACCATACCACAAATAGAAGGCAAAGTTCCATCTAAAATCAAAACACTGTGGAATCAGTGCTCTTGCTAAGAAGGCCTCTTGATATTTTGAATGATCCAATCACTGCCTTAAACTCTCAGAAATGTAGTTAATCAAGAACTGACTAAACTTGGAAAAGCAGGCTATTGGCAGGAAGAAAACAGCTGCAACATACATATCCAAGAAAGAACTTGTATCTAGAATATACAAAAATTCCTACAAATCAATAGACAGGTGAATTTACCAAGCATGAGACTTGAACACTTTACAAGAAGTTATCAAAATAGTACGTTGAAAAATGAAAAAAATATTTTCATATCACTAGTCATAAAGAGAAGGCAAATGAAAAGAAACCCTACACACCTATAGAATAACTAAAACAGACTGAGAACAGCAAGTGTTGGTGAGGGCATAGAACAATTAAATATAAATCAGCATAACTACTTCGGGAAAATGTTAGGCATTACCATCACAAAAGAAATACACCTTATTTTCTGAGTAATTCTACACCTGTGTTTGTGTGCCAAAAAGCATATTCCAAAGCTGGATGGTAGTGGCTTATGCCTGTAATCTTACTCAGGAGACTGAGAAGGAGGTCAGAAGTCTGCATGGGTAGGAAGTCTATGAGATTCTTATCTCCAATTAACTACCAAAAAAACCTGGAGTTGTGGCTCAAGTGGCAGATTGCTAGCTTTGAGTAAAGAAGCCCAGGGAGAGCCCTCAGACCCTGAGTTCAAGCCCAATGACCAGCAACACACAAACAAAGCATATCCCATAATACTCAATGCAACTACATTTATAATTGCTCCAACATGAAAAGCATGTAAATGTACATTAAGTAACAGAATGAGGAAATTGTGCTATATTCTGAGTGGAATCCTAAATGACTGTGGAGGTGAGATTGTTATTTGCCATATAATTTGTAGTCACAAAACGTTAGATGGGGTTGTCCACACATGATTCTATTTATATTAAGTTCAAGGACAGATAAAATGAATCTATGGTAATACAATGTGGCTAACTGGAGTATGGGGGTATGTGTGTGTGGTTGCTAAGAAGGGACATGAAGAAAACTTCAGGAGTGTTAAATATTCTGCATCTTATCTAGGATATTGTTACACTGGTTTCTAAAGATGTAAAACTTCAAGCTGCACACTTAACATTTTGTGCACCTTACCATATGTAAATGTTACTATAAAAAGAACAAAAAGGTATTTCAATTTGTCTTTCAGATTTCATTTGAAGGAGGAATGTATGTTATATACAAGTCATTGAGAATGAAAACATGAATACTCTTACAGTTTTGAAGTAAAATCAACCTTGGCCCAAATGTTTTGTATTAAAAGTATGTAATGCAGAGATCTGAATTTAATTTAGAATGTAGATAAATTTCTTACCAAAATATACTAATAAATGCGCTTTGCCAAAAAAAAAAAAAACAACAGGTGAATCACGGGTTAGGTTGTATTTAGGATTTTACACAAAAGCTCCATTTTCAATATAAAGTAGAAAAATTTTAATGAAATACTGGAAAGTATTTCCACTGAAGAAATACAAAAATGATTTTCTAAAAACACTAACACTTTCAAGGAGGAATAGCTGAAGGTTTAAGCAGTGCCCTCTACAAACTTTTGTAGAGTTTACCCCATGCCAAGTGCAAGCTCCTAAATGGGTATTGTTAGAAGGCTATTTCTGCCTCAATTCTGGGTTATTCTACAGAGAAGCAGCTTTTTAGATCCATTCATTTGTGAACAGATCAATTTATGCATTTACTTGGTTTTTTGATGACTCATCAAGAAGGAAAAATTGATTACAGATAATATATTATACTACACCTATTGTTAAAATGTTCTTTAAATCAAATGTAAGCGTTTTTTTTTAAACTTTAGTAAAAATCAGGGCATTGGGACAATGGAATTGATCTGCAGATTGCATTTATTCAATCCAATCCAGAGAAGAAAGAGGGAAGGGAAGAATATATGCTTATTAGAAACGATGAAGAAAAGAATAGATGTTCATTTCCTTTTAAAATGAAATCCAGACTTTAAAAAAAAAACCTGCTGAAATCTTTGTACTTCTTTCATGGTTTTCAGAGGCCTGAAATAATATGAAGGCTGTATTTCCGTACCCAACGATCTATACAATTGATGAAATGTCTGTAATAAAAAAAATAGACTTCTTTTTGGTGGGTTGGAGACACATGTGGAGAAGTGGGTCCATATATAAGGTAGGCTGACTCTCATCCCCTAGGTAAATTGCAAACTAAAATAAGAATCTCAACTCAATTCTCAAAATGGAATGCAAGTACATGTTCCAAACCTGTCACAGCAATTAAAGAACCATAACACAGCCATTTGTAATTGCTCTATTTATTAATACATATATCACAAGTGTTCACAATATCAATGCATTCTTGTTGGCATGCTAGACAGAGGCATTTATTTTTTTAAGATCTTTTAAAAAATATTTTGACTTCTGTTCCGCCCGTCACGCTCCTTTTTAAACTGATCTCATGAGGTCCTCAAAGTCTATAATGTCAATGCAAGAAAACAATACAGAAAGAAGTAAAATAACACAACAGCAATTAATTGGGGGAAAAATCAAAAGTAATATCATTGCCTTCACTGGAAGCAACAGGACAGCTTTGTAACAGGACTATATATAAGTTTTAACTCAGGAGAGGAGGTGAACTAATTGTCTCTACATACCCAGGCATGGAACAATAATGAGCAAGGAGGCCACCTACTGCTCAACAATTTCCATCATGCATGACACATGCTTTTTTTTTTTCTCCTCATGAACAACTACTGAAGTTCCTCCTTACATGTCCTAGGCAGCCTAAAGAAGGTAGGAAAGAGCCTTAGTAAAGGGAAAACCAAACCAAATGAGATTAGGCCAAAAGAACAGTTAAGTATCATCTCTATGTAAAGGTGCATGGCATTTACAGACCATGGTGAGGGACTAACAGGAGCCTCCCATACTACATGCAGGGCCCCAAGGGGCCAATGATGATAACCAGTCACCTACGATGAACTGCAGTTGGACCAGGTACACGTGGAAGAGCTGGCACGCACAGGGTGGGGGTTCACTAAGACTAGCTACAAGCTGTGGCACAACAGGGCTTCACAAGGTAGACACTACACATGATGCGGGCTGAAAGGTGGAGCAGAGACTGGGTAGGAGAGTCAGTTGCACGCAGGGAGTGGGGTTGAGGGTAGGGCGTTGTGGGAGCAGGTTAAGTGTATTATGTACTGTGCTCTAACATTCTTTGGAAGTCTTTCAGAGATTGTTGCAGTTCCTTTTCAGAACAGATCTCTTACTCCATCGTTCTTGAAAGACTGGAGAGAAAACAAACAAACAAACAAACATGAGTGATTCACCATTAATAAGACCTTGAAAAAAAAGAGAAGTAACAAGCACTTGAAAAGTTAAGGCATGAGGATCATGAGTTCGAGGTCAGCCTGAGCTACACAATGAAACTGTTTCAGACAGACAGATAAATCAATAGCATCCCTTGTACCTCCTCAGCACTGTAGACATGAGATTTCTGCTCAAGCACCACTAAGAACAGGTAGAAGGGGCCCCAAAGCCTCCTGTCTATTTGAAAGGTGGCTTGAATATATACCAATTGAGCATTGCCCACTGCCACTTACCTTCTCTTTACACCATCTCATACTGATTGGCCGTGATGAACCGGGACAGACAGCAGGCCAGCAGCATGCCAATCAACTGTTGCCAAGGAGACAAATGAAAATGAGAATTTCAAGTCATCGAACTCCACCCTTCTCTCACCCCTAGATGAAATTTTAAATGTAAAGTTTCATTTTTACTTGATATATATTATTTGCATGTAGTCTTTTTATTTTCAAACTTATTTTTAGTCTTTATCATCTTTGAGTAGTTGGACAATGTTGTTTCAATTCAGCATGCTTAAGAGTCCTAAGGTGATATTTTAACATATGTATATCTTTAGATACAATAGTTTTCTTTTGGTTTATTTTTTGTTTGTTTGTTTTGGGGGTCCGGTGGTGGGGCCTGAACTCTGGGCCTGGGCGCTGTCCCTCAGCTCTTCAGCTCAAGGCTAGTGCTCTACCACTTGAGCCACAGCACCACTTCCGGCTTTTTTTTCTTTTTGCTTATGTGGTGCTGGGGAATCGAACCCAGGGCCTCAGGAATGTAAGGCAAGCGCTCTACCACTGAGCCACCTTCCCAGCTCCCTTTTTGTTTGTTTGTTTGTTTTGCAAACAGAAGTTTGTATCCGTGAAAGGGTAAAAAGGCACTAGAGGTTAAGAGCAAATCTGATTTCAACCTAAGTGGAGGTTCTGGAATTGGCCACAAGTTTCCAGCTCACTCTGACCATTTTAGAACAGCTTCTGATTCCAAGTAATTTTAAAATATGTTCATGTTATGAAAGTAATGCGAAATATTAAGTGACAGAATTAGGGACATGAACTGAAAGGCCAAAATTTTCATTCACATCAATCACCATATATTTGTAAAATGTCTCAACCTAGTATGATACTTTAGCCATACTTGACTGACAGAATAACAGTTCTTTTCCTTAACACAAGCATAGAGACTGTTTTTTATTGGGTCTATCTGCCATGGCTTGTGAGATAGAGGTAAAACGTGAGGAAAAAGGGGAAAATAAGGTTCTACATTTTCTTTGTCTCTCATGCCTGTAGCTATCTTTGGCCTAAGTGGGTCCATCTACACCCAGGGCCTATCTTCTAGTTTTTCAGTGATTGCAGAGCTACTATTCCCAGAACACCTCCCCTTGCTCAAAGACCCTAGTCCTCTACTTGTCTTTGTACTTTGACCTAATCTGGCAGGTGGTTCTAATAAAATAGTTGTGACACTGTCAAGACACCATTAAGCACATCATGCCCGCTCATTAGCAATCAAATGCCTTACTCATCAATTGGAGGATCAGTAAGTTTTGGATGAGAGACGACTAATTGTGTACCTGAACCTAGAGGCTGCTTTTCCTTGGTCAGTGTAGTCCATTTTCTCTAAGTAACTCAGACATGTTTTATTGAATTGGAGGTGGGAATTACATTCAGATGTGTGAGCCCCATGACCAACAGAACAGCCTCCCCTGGGATTGTAAGAATTTATCTTACAGATTTTCAGGCTTCACCCCATACCTGCTAAATCAAACACACTGGGGACATTCTCATCAGCTTGTGCCTTCACAATCCCTCCATGGGAGGGAATCACTATTCCAGGCAACCAGGTTGCCCTTATCTGATAGATGAAACATCTATTACTATTCTACTCTACAGCATTGGCCAGTATAAACGTTGAATTCTGTTCTCTTGTCTCTTAACTCAGCAAGCAGATTCTTATCTTGCTTTTGAAAATCAAAACTATGCTGTTAAATATGCAAGTGATAGCTTTTGTCAGGTAAGGAAAACTCATTACCTTATAGGACTCACTGTTCTACCAATGCCCTGGTCTACATCATTTCATACCACAAAATGCAAGATATCATATACTTGCTGCCAAATGACTGACCATAGGTTTCATGGCTGCAACTTTCAAAATATTCTGTCAAATGAGAAATGAAAATCATCCATGAGTGTAAGGATTTTAAAACTTAAAAGCTTACCCAATTTGGGGAATTAAAATGACCATATTCTAGAAGCAACAATTTCCAGAGCATCTTTGCCAGTATCAAAATTTAGATTCCAGACAAAAAATAAGTAATCAGTTCTAACAAATTATTGACTCTTCTACAATCTTGTGCAATATTATAACCTCAACATTCTAGATAAGACAATAGATTTAGGAGAGGCTAAAAATCTCTCTCAAACTATGTGGGTAATGTGCAGAAAGACTTTCCCACCTAGTCCAGACAAATGGGCTTTTACTTGAGACAACACAAAGGCAATGGGAGTTTGCGGAGAGATGTACTAAAAGGTCTGATCAAATTCTGCTGTTTAAACAAGGGTCTAAGTTAGCTAAGTTAACTATTAGGGAACAAAGGTTTTGCAAAGTGTACTGAAAGACTGGACTCAGTTTAGTTTTCCTTATACTTTATACCACCTTCAATCTCTGAGACAATACAGGTATAAGGCCAGTTTCTTTAACAGGTGAGAGCACGGGACCATAAGAACAGTTGAAGAAAAGGGCAAAAAGAAGGTGCAGAGCAAGTGCAGAGGGAAAGTGAAAAAGAGACACAGTGCTGATATTTCCTCATAACATTAGCTTCTACTCAGTAGATCTAACTTTATTACAGGAAGGCAAAAGCGCCATGGTTTAATCAACATTAGCTAACATTTGCAAGGTTTCATGACAACATTTGCTCCATAATTTCTGGGGAAAATGTAGATGATTATGTCTCTATTTCATCCTGCATACAAATCAATAAAAAAGAATCAAAAAACTTAATCTAAGAATCAAACTTTGAAAGTACTAGAGGAAACATAGGGAAAGACTTCAAGATATAGCATAGGCTGGATGCCAGTGGCTCACACCTGTAATCCTAGCTATTCAGGAGGCTGAGCTCTGAGGATCTCAGTTCAAAGCCTGCCCAGGCAGGAAAGTCTGTGAGACTCTTATCACCAATTAATCACCAAAGAAAAGCCAGAAGTGGAGCTGTGGCTCAAGTGGTAGAGTGATAGCCTGGAGCAACAAACCTCAGGGACAATGCCCAGGTCCTGAGTTCAAGCCCCAGGACCAGCACAAACACACAAAAACATATATGGCATAGGTGATGGCTTTCTGAATAGAACTCCATTAGCTAAGAGAACAAAGAATAGGAACTGACAAATGGGATTGCATTCAAAAAGCTTCTTCATTAGCAATAGAAAAATAATCAACAGTAAAGAATCAGCCTACAGAATGAGAGAAAATCCTTGCCAGCTATTCACTGGATAAATGATTAATATTTGAAATATACCAAGAGCTTGCAAACTAAACACCAGAAGAATAACCAAATTACTAAATGGCCAAATGTTTACTTTTCAAGCAAAGAAGTGCCTAATAAATACATAAAAATACTGAATATTCTCAGCCATCAAGAGAATACAAATTAAAATGACATTGAGTTTCTACCTTATCCCAGTCAGAAAGATCATTAAGAAAACAAATAACAAATGCTGATGAGGATATGTAAGGAGGGAAGAAATCTTATTCATTGCTGATAGGAATATAATAGTCCAGTCATTATAGAAACCAGTATGAAGGTTCCTCAACAAAATTAAGAGTTCATACTACTTCTGTGTACATACCCAAAAGAATCAAAGTTGTCTTAATATAGAAACACATGTTTATCTATGTAATGGACTCGGCTGAGGTGCCCATCAATTGATGAATGGATAAAGAAAAAAAAATATATATATATACAGTAGAGTTTTACTCAACCATTAAGAAGAATGAAATGATGTTGCTTGCTGGGAAATGGATGGAACTGGAGATCATCATGTTAAGTGAAATAATTTCAATCTCACAAAAATAAGCATTGTAGCTGGAGACTGGTGGCTCACATCTGTAATCCTAGCTACTCAGGAGGCTGAGATCTGAGGATCACTGTTCAAATTCAATCCATGAGACTTTGATCTCAAATTGACCACCAGAAAATCAAAAGTGGAACTGTAGCTCAAACTGTTAGCGCACTAGCCTTGAGCAAAAGAGCTTAGGGACAAGAGCCTAGGCCCATGACAAAAAAAAGGGCATTGTATTTTTCTCCCATTTATATAAGGCAGAACAGAACAAAACAAGAGAGCCATGGTAATGAAAGTAAAAGGACTACTAAAGAGGTGAAGGGGAAAGAAATAGGGGGTATGGGGTAATAGAGGTGAATATGATCAAATTATAGTATATGGATGTATAGAAATTTCATAGTGAAACTACCTACTATGTACATCATATTTTTTAAAAATGAAGGAAAAGAAACCACAAACTATGAATGAATGAATGCAGCTAAAGCTTTGCTTCCTTATCATTGACCAGTGGTGGTGGCTCTTCCTGAGCAAGCATCCATTGTCCCAGGGAGGACCCTCAATCTACTTGCATTTGGGAACGAACTGCAGTTTCCAGGAATCCTAAGGCTTCTAGTGCCACAAATAGTTGCAAGTCCTCATGCTGATGACTGGGAAAAGCCAGCCATAGCCATTCCGTTCCCTGTCTCAAATTGAACACAACAGGTCTCAAATCTCTACTGGGCTTTGTGTTTCCTATCTTAACAACCATATAGTTCCTTATATGACTTAAGCTTGCTGAAGTATTAGGGTTCTTTGGGGCCAAAGCACCTCTCTTACTGCCTGAGTGTGCCACAAAGCACACTCAATAATCCCTAAGCCAGTAGATTCCTTCAAAACAGCACAGAGAGATCGATGCTCATGTGTCTGAGCATAAATTCTTTTATAGGGATGTGTGAGAGGGGAGTGGAAAAATGGATGCTCTGTAATTTGGAGAAGGATCCATTGGATTTGATTCATCTCACTAATCAAAACAGGATCGTTATCTGCACATCTTTACCCCAAGGCCACATGGGAATATTATTAGATGATCTGATGCCTCATCTAGGAGATGAGGTACTGTTTTCTTCATGTATGGTATTAGCATTGTGTCCCATTATTTCTTTATAGTAGCCATGATGGAATACTTCAGCAAAACCTTTACTTTCTCCAAGGTGACTGATCTCCTCAGTTTTAACAATCTGATGCTATGAATACCTGTAGTAAAATAACCATGTTCAAGGCTGTCAAGTGCATTCTATATATTTGCATGAGTCACAAGGTTCTGGATCTTTTGAAATATCCCTGGGTCATTATGGAGGTGTTATTGTTATCGAAATATTATAGCAACTAGAAGAAAGTTCAAGGCAGTGACAACCTTTGAAAAGTCCCTGGAGACTAAGTTAATTGCACTGTCTATGTACCGTGCTCTGGTTTCTCTGTGTGTTTGCATGTTAAGGATTTATTTCACTTCATCTTTACAAAAACAATGAAGCATGGTGAAAGAGAATTTTGAAAATACAACAAGAAACACATTCCTCTTGACAGTCCACATGCTCTTGTGAGATGAAATGACATATAGGTTTTTAAAACTGCTTGGGAAGAAAGGCATTTCTACCTCTTTAAATCTAAACACTCTACTTGGCAAAGACAGATGATCAGGCTAAATGTTTATTCCTTGATTGAAGCCAGGGCTTAGATCATTGCTGTGCGTTCTATAATAATTTATTAAACTGTAAACATAATTTATATATTCTTCTGTACAGTGCATATTTTATAAAAAGTTTTAGGAACAAAGTTGAATAAAATTCAATTGTATCTATGTTTCTAGGCAGAGGGTCCGAAGTACAGATGGGTGAAGAAAAGATATAGTCTGATATAGCCCATATACATAGCAGAGCTTTGGGATTGGGGTTGAAACAATTAGGCTTTGGGAGAAAAACAAATCTGTTGTTCTGCAAAGACTTTGAGTTAAACATAAAGTTTTTTTTTTCTGGTAGCTAAACAGGGAAGGGAGAGAGAAAGGAAGGGGGGAGATTCTTCTACCCACAGTAAACTTGGATGGGAGATCAGAAGCCTATGGGAAGCCCTGAAGAATAGACGAAGAATGAATTTTAGATTTAATCTTGTTCCATCCTTGAGTGTGTATGGTTTGTTTAACTTGCATAATTATTTTCCCCATTTTTAAGAGGAGATAAAAGTATATAAAAGTTAACACACAAAATTGGACTCCCTCTAAAGAAATAGAATAGTAAAACCCAGAGATTAAAATAATGACCACAAGATGAAGTTTGTTAAGTTTGGGCTTTCTTTAAAGGGGGCAATGTCATCTATAATCTATAGGAACTAAGAGAGGACAAAAAGGGACAAGTCAACCAGGAAAAAAGCTTTCCCCAAATCTACGTCAGCCATTTGATGTTTTGAGTTGTGTATGTTCCAATTAAGCCAGCACCTTGTTCAGTTAACCTCCATTTGACCTACAGAAGAAGCAAGTTGTTTTTCTGGAGCTAGTCATTAGTTGAATTGTAACTGATATTCCCTTGATGGTAGAACTTCATTTAAGTTGAAAAAGGAAAATCAATAAACAGATGACCTGAGGACTAACAAGCCAGGAGCTCTGACCCCATCTATCAGCTTCCCCAAGGCACAGAAGGCAGTCTGAGAATCTGGAGGCCAGGGAGGGAAACCTGAGCAGGAGGCAGGCCAAAAGCTATACCAGGCCTCCAGACAACTATGTAGGATACCTGGGAGAATGCGATCCCAAACGCCACTCCAGCAATGATCCCCATGTTTGTCTCCATGAAACTGGTCACCAGATCATAGCATCCCTAGGAAAAGAGAAAAAAGGTCTCACACATGAGGTTTCCTCAGACCAGGCTGGAATACATACACTAGTAAAACCCTCATCTATACTCCAATCTTAGCAAATATAATTGCAACTCATCCTAGGAATTTACCAGAATTCTATTTTTAAAATAAGTTTTTTATTGTGAAAATAGTGTACAGAGGGGTTACAGTTACATGAGCAAGGTAATGAATACATTTCTTATCAAGCATTGTTGCCTCCTCCTTTGTTTTTCCCCTACCATCTCTTCCCTCCTACCTACACAACTATACTCCACCCCCTACCCCTAACCCCCCCCCCAAATTGTAAAGTTTTTCAACCTAGTGTTTTGTACATCTCATTGTTGCAATGGGTGAACATGTATCCCTATTTAAACATTTTGTTTTTTCCCTTCCCCTCCCCAAATTATACTGACATCAAATACAGTGAAAACAGGAATTTACCAGCATTCTATACAAACAAATAAACAAAAACTAACAAAATGATGAAACATACAAAAAGTATAGAGTTATAAAATGAATACTTGTACATTTCCCCTAAAACTATGGCTAATATATGGCCAGTGTTTTTCCACCTAACCGCAAGCAAATCCCATTCCCTGGATGAGTTATTTTGAAATCCTAAACACAATGGTATCAACAAATGTTGTCATTAGTAGGATAAATTTAGTGAGAAATCTGAAAGCTCATTGAAGCAAACGATGTAGTGATAGAGAAGGAGACATGAATAGATGAAGAGGCACTCCACATCCTTGGGCAAGAAACACTGGCATCATAAACAGTCATCAGCTTTTTGACAAGGAAGGACAAACTCTTGGATAAACAAAGAGAAATCATCTGGTTAGAAGGAAGTATTTAAATACCTGCCAACTTGATGGAGCTTTTGGATTTTGCCTAAGGGAAACTATTAAGATCATTCTTAATAATAAAAATCTATATTCCAGAGTCATCTTTTCCAAAAATTTACCATGTGACCCTGGACACATTACTTCCTCTGTCTGAACTTCAATAACACTATCCAGAAAATGAACTGAATTTCACCTTAACATATTATAAAATCTGTAAATGGCATGATTTAAAGGCAACAATTATCACCAGTGTTAATATTAGTTTAGAACTGAAGTGAAATTATCTTTCTCTAAGATGAATAATCTGGTTGGAGTTCAACAATATTGCTAAACAAGTTTTGTTGCTATTATTCTAGATTACATTTTGCCAATGTAGCCCAGATATGAAATGTCAAAGTTTTTGTATCATACCTAAGACTAAAGCAATTGCTGACTCTTTCTGTATATCCCTAACCTTTAGGTCAAGTAGTAGGAGTAGAAATGTGTGATGTGTGCCTATTATTGGTACATTTATTTGGAATTGGCCAACTCAGTCCAAAGTCCTGAATTGACCTACTCATTATAAAAATGTCATCTCCCCCCCCCCCACAGTTTTCTAATAAAGGACTTCAACTTGAATATCTAAAATACTATTACATTTATTTAATAAATTTCATTAAAGTGGTTCTTTTTATTTTTTAAATTTTTTTATTGTAAAGATACTGTACAGAGGGGTTACAGTTACATGAGTAAGGTAATGAGTACACTTCCTATTGAGCATTGTTATCCCCTCCTTTGTTTTTCCCCTACTATCCCTTCCCTCCCCACCTCTCCAACACCTCCCTCCACAAAGTTGTAAAGTTCATTTTCAACATAGTGTCTTGTACATTTCATTGTTACAATTGGTCAACCTGTATCCTTGTTTCGGCATTTTATTATTTCCCTTCCCCTCCCCAACTTAGAAAAATGTATATAAAAGATACAGGGCACCAGAATCCAATACAGTGACAAATAGTGGTTATACCATGGGAAAAGAACATGCAAAAGAAACAAAAAAAATCACCTAGTACATTAAAAACAACAGTGACAAAGAAAAAAAAACTATCAAAAAGTTATGTTTCAATAACTTCTGAAGGATAATAATACCAATGCCCTACTATGTCTTCCATTTTTAAATTTAAATCCTAACAACTTAACTTTTCTCAGAGCTTGTGAAAATTCTGCAAATGCCTGTATTCCTTGTTTCTAGTGGTACTGGGGTTTGGATTCTGGGACTTGTGCTAGCTAGCAGTTGCTTTACCACTTGAGTGACATTCCTCTACCAGCTCTTTTTTCTTTCTTTTTTAGTTATTTTTTTGAATAGGACCTCACATTTATGCCTGGGCCAGCTATTTACACTTCCTATAGATCTGGGATGACAGATGCATATCAGTACACCCAGATTTCTATTAGTTGAGATGAGGTCTGGAGAATTTTTGCCTAGGATGACCTTGAACTGCAATCCTCCCAATCTCTGCTTCTGTGAGAGGCTACAGTTATAGGCATGAGATACCATGCACCATTAATATGATACCTTCTAAGTGACATTTTACATCCATAAATCATTTGCAGAGAAAAAGTGAATTAACTTAGCAGTGGTGCTATCTGACACACATGGTTTCAATGTAATTCACAAACCATACTCCTTAGTTAAGTAGAACAGATATGGAAGGCAGGGGAAGGAAGTACATTCTTGCTCATGGAGATCTGTGAAATTTGATTCTTTCTAGTAGAAATTTACTGATTTCATTTTTACTAGGGGAATGATACACCACATTACTTTTCCAAAGGTAGTGGGAAAGTTAGGAATTTGAGTTAGGAAGGAGTCAAAGAGGGAAGGTAAGTAGCTATTGTAACATGCTCCCACATGGTAAGAGCCAACATAGTATTTTGCCAAGCTGGCTGTCATTACTGTATCTTCTCCCCATAGTGATGACCAGGTCAGGGAATAAGGGTCAGATCAGTAAAATGTTAGGTCAGCTCAAAATATGAAACACATGCCTGATAATACCACCCAGAGAGAAGCAATCCAGGTCATTTTCTTAGTCTGTAAAATAGCTTGGCATAGATTCCCCCCACCCCCATCCCCAGTGGCTTAAATTCTACACTTAAGCCAAACATGTTTTCCTTAAGTATAATTTCTACTCATTTTGGAACTTGGTTTTATTTTGCAGTGCTGAGAATGGAAACACATACTAGGGGGCCGCACAGATACTAGGCACTGTGCTCTACCACTGAGCTACACTCCTAGCCTCATTTTTGGAGAATTTCAGAGTCAGTTTATTTTTGATCAGGCCACTCCAACCAGTAAGAGAAATCATGAAAATGAAGTAACTGACTGATAACTGTAGTTCTCTCTGAGCCTAATTCTTCAGTGTATTGAGGTTTTATTTATTCTTCTTATTTGTTGTGACAGTTCTCACTATAGAGTCCAGGCTGGCCTCAAACTCACAATCCTCTTGCCTCTGCTTTCCTAGTGCTGGCATTACAAGCATGCACCACCATGTCTGGCAATGTGTAGTTCTTCACCTAGGGGCTTGTGAGAAATGCAAACCTGGAGACCCTACATGACATCTGGTGAATCAGAATCTGCCACAGCTCTGAGTTGTTTTTTTAATTTTTTTTGAGGGGTCCGGTCGTGGGGCCTGAGCACTGTCCCTCAGCTCTTCAGCTCAAGGCTAGCGCTCTACCACGTGAGCCACAGCACCACTTCCGGCTTTTTTCTTTTTGCTTATGTGGTGCTGAGGAATCGAACCCAGGGCCTCATGCATGCAAGGCAAGCGCTCTACCACTGAGCCACCTTCCCAGCACTGTTTTTTTTAATATTTTAAAAAATAAATTTAAATTCATTTTAACAAGATCTCCAGACATTTGATATGCCCTCCTTGAGAAGTACTCATTTATAAAAACTTGCCTGTGTTTTTTTTATTGTATATATGAAACCAAGTCAATGCATCATATTAGTAATAGGACTAATCCAAATGAAAAGATGAAAGTATTGTGAGACTAATTGTTTCCCATCTCTGGATTTATTTTTGTTGTTAACCATATAGACTCAAAGCCCATTTTCCAAGACTCAGTACAGCTCTTCAGACTTAAAGAAGTGTTCTGATACTATAACCACAGACCATGGTTATATGCAACCTTAAGTTCTACACTAAAGCATGAGTGTATCTACCCACAACCATCTCTCTCAATTTTCCAGTAAGAAAACATGGTTGTCAGGCATGAAAAAAAGTCTAAAAAGGCTTGCTAAGTGTCATAGAAAACACCTAGAAACAGAGAACAGTATGCCTAAACCAGCAGTCACCAATGGAAAACATCTGCAAGTAGGAGAATTCAAGGACTTAAGAGTAGAAGGCTAGTTCCAGGAAGGTTCTGGGAAGAGATTTCTCTTTAGTTGCCAACCAGAATAATTTCTCCTGCTCTTACCAACTGGCAAGGAATTCATATGGAATAGAGGCTCAGCTAGTGTGATTAGCCAATTGAACCTGAAGACATTTCACCATCTACTAGCAAAAGCAAAGCAAAACCTAGCCCCAAACCAAACAACTATCCAGTACAACTATTCACACCTTCTCCCTCCTCTCTCTCCCCTTAATCTGTACAATGTAGTCAGGCTACTATATAAAAACCAAAAGTCATCATTCTGTATCACAGTATAGGCCTCAAAACACTTAAAAGATCTATATAGACAATCTGTTTATTCTAAACCACAGGTTCTATGTAAGTTGAATGTGGCAGTAGTTAAGCTCTCTTGGGGAAGGAAGTCAGGGGGATACTGACATTAAGTACCTACTATTACTGCCTCTACTCCATGCCCATCTCCTACCTTTCTAGATGTGATGTGTATAAAAACACAGACAGGAGGAATAATTTGTCTCAGAGGTTCATGTGGGAATTAAATGAGAATGTCTAATTTAAAACTTAGCAGACAAATTTCAGTTTCTATGACTTCTTCTCCTGTGAAGGAGGAGGCTGTAGAGTATAAGGACAGCGAAAGAACAGTTAGGTACATCTTCCAAGTATTGAAATTACCCAGAGGAATATAAGCCAGGATTGCAGTGAGGTCAGTTTGCAGGATGTCAATAAAATGGAAAAGAGTAGCTATGTTTCCTTCTAGAAACAACTGTACACATTTTAGATGTACTGTAGGATATTGCCCCCCGACACACACACCAATTTTCCTTCTGATACTAACAAAAGATCTTCCCTACAAGAACCAGCTGTTATTTGCAAGAACTGTAAAGAAAACTTCATCATCAATGGGGTCATATTAACATTAGTTAACATTAGCGTTTACTCTGTGTCAGGCCTTGTGTAGCTCATTCAGTTCTCTCTAAGGGGCTATTACTGTGACTACTAACACTAATAAAATGATGACCATTATTATCCCCATTTTACAGATGGAGAAAACACCACTGAGCAAGGATAAATTACTTGACCAAGATCACACATCAATGAGTGGCTGACTCAGAATTTAGACTGGAATCTGACTCCAAGGCTTTGTAGCTCTCGATTTCTAGATCCTCAAATTTCACAAAAGAGAGGAAGTTTAGCCTTGCACCAACACTTGATGAGTGCTGCTTTTATGAATGAGTCTGAGAAGCCTAATATTTAATTGTCATAGAACACTTCTTGCCTTCCATGAGAGTGTCCACAACATGCCAGGTATGTTTGGCACGTCAGCAAATGGAAGCAAAGTATCTGGGTGTTCACTGGGGATATTCATGAAAAATCCAGAAGTCATCTCATTAGACATCGAGACATTACGGGAATTTCTAAGTTGTGGTTCATAAGAAAATTTCAGCAGGAATATATATTTTCTTAGCTAAGGCAAAAAGTTGTCAGAACTAAATCATATGGAACTGCATCACTTGCAGACTTCTCATCGCTTGCAGACTTCTAAGTCCAGAACAACAGCATGTGCTTCCAGAAGGACAAACAAAAAAACAAAAACAGAAACAAAAACAAAACCTGTTTTGCAGCATTCATGTGATAAGTAATCCCTCTAGATAGATGAAATATATAGGTACTACCTTACAACATTCTAATCTGGAAAGAATGGCTATCATCTCTATGAATTATTCAGTAGTTGGCCCAGATCACATGGAATTTTGAAGACATCATAAAAACAGAATTTTATCTTGATAAAAATTTCTCCATGGCTGAATAACCACAGATAGAACTCAACAGGCTTTCTTCTTCCTCTTCATTTCATCAAATCATACTACGTATGTGGAATTTCACTAAATGTTTAAGAATGTAGATAGTCTTCACAAACAGCTGGATTGCGTCTTCATTGTATTGTTTGTGTGATATAAAATTGATTTTCCTTCTCTTCGACTACCAAATCTTCATTTCTCCCATTTTCACTATGTACTAACACCCTAATTTCCTTTAACCATCTTTTTCACCCCTGTTTCTTTGGAAGTCAGAATGTTGACAGTGAGTTGAATTGGAGTTACTGATTTCTTTTCCTCTAGCAGGGAACTCCCTAAAATAAAGGCCACCCTCCTAGCAGAAGCAGATGCTGTCTGTCAACTCTGCTCTCTTCTTCCTGCCAAAGACTGGCACCCAGCTGCGAATAATTTCATGTTTAGATGGTATATTAAGCAGAAGAAAGACACCCAGAAAGAAGAAAGCCAACATTCCCTGCCTGACACAGGCATCAGGGTTAACAGGAACCACTTGCCAAACCTTCCTTCCTGACTGTGCCTGGGAGATGCTCACTGCGGGAGAGCAATGCGAAGCTGATCTGAGGCACAGCTTCCTCTTTTAGAAGTGAGCAGCCTCAAGTGCCTCTCACCGGCAATCAAGGACCACAAAGGAAGACTCTTGACTCCCTCCTGGACTACCCTTTCCAACCTATCAGTCAATTTCACAGAAACAACAAAGCCCTCCCAAACATTCACCACTGGTCCTATCAGGGCTGGGAATAAGTCTGTACCTTCTGGTTAACTTTGGTGGCAGCCACAGTCAGATTATGTAGATCCTGGGGATTGCAATCGGTTTCATTCATGCAGCAACTTGGGGGGATGCCATGCTCCAGGAAATAGGGGCTGGTGCTCCAGTTGGTGTAGTTCTGTACACCACAGCAACTCAGCTGTGAACATGGAAAAGAAAAGAATCAAAGAGTGTTAGATCAAAGACATTATGGTCTCCTCACTCATACTACCCTGCAACTTTTAAAAGAGAAACATGGACCAACACTCCTAAGACAACATGAACAGCTTTTGAACTGAAGCTCCACTCACAATTACTCTCACTTCAGTGCCCACGTGAACTCAAGAAAAACAAGTACATTTAGATCACATATCTGTTGCCTTTCTTACCATCTCCACATAGCAAAGCAGTGCTTCAATGACTTGGCTAAGCATCCCAGTAGGCAGGCAGGCTTTTGCACTAGCCTCTGTCACCCTAAGTGCCTCCAGGCAGGAAAGCTCTCTTCTATTCCCCTCTTTCCTTCTACAAAGCACAGGCAGCACAGCCATTCACATAGGTCCTCAGCTTCTTCTCAGGACATTTCCCACACCTGCCATACTACTCAGCCAGTAGATGGAGCCTTCCCAATCCCTCTGTCCACCAAATGCTACTGGTCCACTGTACTGACACAGCTTACAAGTCTAACCCCAGACCTGGTAGGGAGGCCTCATTCCTATCTCCTTCCCTGGAACTTACGCTGCGCTGCACATGGTCCACTGCACGGCTCCTCTCATCATTGCCATTGTAGTTCTGCATGGCATCAGTGTAAGTCCTGAGGAAGGTGTCCTTGATCTATGTAAAACAAGGGGAGGAATATGGTTTAGGTTCACTGCAGTCCAAACTGAGAGTCATACCAATTTCAACCCCAGTATTGCCTCTACTGAAAGACTCTGGATAAACGGAAGTTAGGGAAGGGAAATTCACCAAGGGGTTTATTGGCCCAGGAATTGAAAATAAGTTGTTAGCCACATCCTCAGTTCTGAAGTAGCCTAGCTTGTCAAAAGACCTGCTGATGTGGCTAGTCAGTTTTTGAGAAGGCTGTGATAGCCTCAGCCATGATTTTCTACTTATTTTCTTTGAACGGACTCATGTCCACCTTCATTTCTATAACCTGGTCATTATGCAAAAGAAATAATACTGGAAAATCCACATAGGGGACAGGAAAACTGTTATTAGTCCCCAAACAGATCCCTATTCTACCATTCAGAAATGGGACAAAACTTTCACTTACCCATGCTCACTGAGGTCAAAGTAAAAGAGGCTACAGAACAAGATGGTTTCTGATTATAAAGCATTAACAAAACTCATTTCCCTCCTCCATGAACACATTTGACCCTGAAATTCTAAACACTGTTTCCTGCAGGAAACAGTGTTGCCAGGCCACCTGGCTTATAGTAAATAACGAAATGCTTCCAGATTAGGAAGAGAGCAAATGACAATAATTACCTAGTGGGAAGCTCAGAGTTATGATAGAGTCCTTGCTAATTTCAAAAGCTATGTCCATGGCACAGTTATAAGTGGTAAACTAACACTAGCTACATGGATCCTCTAAGCCAAAATGGCTGCCATACCCAGCAATGTCACTTCATTTCACTGCACCTAAGATGTCCCTTGGTGCAGAATCTGTACATAGAATAGGCCCTGGGCCACTCTAAGGACACAAGCTGAGAAAATAAGCTTTGCCCTACAGGTATACTGAGCTTCCTACTACATTCTTCTGTGTAAATGCTACCAAGTGTGACCTATTGTCACTTCGTGAGTTTGACTGCTTAGCCAAATTCAAGACCAGCAGCATTTGAGGTTTAAGTGTGGCTTCCTAAGTGGCTCGGATAAAAGAAGTTAGGAGGTAAGGAATTTCAAGCCCCAGGAAGCAGAAGACATTTAAAGAAAATGTCTACATGGAATAGTCACAAAAGCACCGAAGAAACAAGAGCGCTCAGGCAGGAGTGAGGCAGGAGGCTCCTGGTACCCATGTATGAACTTGGGGCGTCTATCAGGGCTATGAAGGCTGTGATGTCATTGGGTTTCACTTGAGAATAAGAATGAGGGAGGCGAGTCTAACTCTAGATGCAGAATTCATATGAAGTAAGTTCTAGAAATCAGCTTGGGCTGGATACTGTATGCCTCCAGTAAAGGGAAAACTCAGGGCAATAGGGAAAGGAGTAAAAAATAAAAAGCTAAGATCCCAAGGGATACAACTTAACCAAGAATAAAAGCAGGGCCCAGGAAGACATGATGTCAGCACCCCAGTAACACTCTTACTCAGTGTGTTTTCAACCGGCATCTTCTATGTTCCTCTTTCCCACATATGCCTATCTACTTCTGGCTCTCCTACTATGCAGGGTTCTACTACAATACAGGGTTTAATAATGGGTTTATGAGATAGAAAGATAATTAGTTTGACTTGCCTTTAACAGGCCCAGACAACTTGTTACAGATACACACATGTTCTGTTGAAGCAAAGCAACTATTCTGAAGGAATATTTCATCTATATAGAAAGTCACTGTTTTAAATCAGAGTGCAGAATTATTTCATAAAATAGTTATACAGAGAAACAGAGCGAAGATCAACAAGGAAGTTTAGAATTTGGTGAAATTCTTGCATGGAGAATTTAATTAGAATTTCAGGCTATATTACATGACATTTGGAAACTGGAGACACCACTGGTTAAACTAGCTAGCCTATCTGCATGCTTCATACATTCCAAGAATTTTCCAAAATTTTCCCCTCAAAGACCAGTTAACTGAGTTTTCCACCTTCCATATACTCACCTCATGACGAAACACAAACCCTGAAATGCCAGCTACAAGCTCAGCCAGAAACACCAGGGACAGGAACATGGCATACTAAAAATCAAGTGGACAAGAACAAGGTCAGATGCTGGGATTAAGAAGAGGGATAAACTGCTTCCTGATAGGTAGGACTTGACAAGGCCTTATACTCCCTTAAGAAAGATTCAAAAAGTTTAAAAATTAAAAATACTCTGCTCCAGAGTTGCCCACATGAGCCTCAACAGATACATGAATATTTTGGAGTATACAAGCCAAGGAGAGCTCTGTAGAGTATCTGCGTTCCTTTTTTCAATTTTTTGTCTGTTGTGGGGCTGGAACTCAGAGCCTGGGCATTGTCCCAGATCCTCTTTATGCTCAAGGCTAGTGCTCTACCATTTGAGCCACAGTGCCACTTCCAGTTTTTGATTGGTTAATTGGAGATAAATAGTCTCATAGGGACTTTTCTGCCCCGGCTGGCTTTGAATCCCAATCTTCAAATCTCAGCCTCCTGAGTAGCTAAGATTATAGGTGTGAGCCACTGGCACCCAGCTTTTTTTTTTATTTTTTAAAGGAGAGCTCAGCAGAGACTGGCATTGTTCTGTCAGTTCAATTCAACCTGGAGACACTTGGAAGGGTCACTTGTAACTAAGATATCTACTATCTTTGCAGTAGAGAAAAATCTACTCTGGAGGTCATAGGCCACAGTTCTGCTCTGTCTAGGAGTCTTTCTAACTCCCTTCCTTTCTGACTCATAATGGCATGCTACATGGCATCTGAAAGGCCATCTCCTACAGACTTTTTCATTTAAAAAATATTAGTAATTTTTCATTAAAATAATATTAATGTTGTCATGATAGGGATTAAACCCAGCACCATGCACATGTTAGGTCCTGGATGCTCTACCACTGAGTGACCTCCCCGGCCCTCCATATTCTATTTGTAACTGTTCCAAAGGATGGGAAAGCTTCCTTTTCCTTGGCCATAAGTTGGCCTACTTCCAGTTCCCACTTGCTGCTGCTGATTCTGCTTTCAACAACTTGAAGAACTTACCTCTGTTTTACACAGACCCTTCACACGTGTGAGCAGTCACAGCTCCCTGTTTTTGCTGGGAAAACTCTTCTACTGTCCTTGCCACATTTCATATGAATGTCTACAAAATGACTTCATTTGCAATTTTACACTATCATCTGGGTCCAAAGGAGGATGCACTTGTTCAATATGGTGATTATCCCTGAACACAGGACCCTCAGCATTTCCCAGGGGGCTGCTTGCCTCTCTCGTCTGAACACTACATGGGATTTATAGTCTTTTAAACAGCAAATACAGCATACTACAATAGACCTTGCATGCATCTAAAAACTTTAGTGCTTTTCATCACATGTTGCCTGTACTTTCTCTGTGTGTGTGTGCGTGTGTATGAGAGACAGAGACCAGACATGTGTGAGCATCTGAATCCAGGGATATTACAAGGCACTTGTTTCCATTTTTATAACTTTGAAAAGCAGATAAAAGGAAGGAAAATTGATTCCTTACCAACAAAGCATATGTCTTACAATCTGTTGCTTCTCATCTCAAAATGAAATACAATGGTTCTGACCATTTGCAATGACCCTAGTGATGCTGTGGAATTTGGGTGGACTGCACATGGTCCACATTACTTATCGGCAAAATGTTCATATGTCTTCTACAGTATACATGTACATAGAAACATACATTGTTTTACTCAAATAGTAGCACATATATTAAAAGAAAGATATACTTAGGAGAGGATTCTAATGGCATGTAATATATATATTATATATATAAAGTCCTCTGAACATCATGTTTCGTCAAGGTTCAGGCGTATGTCAAGGAGAGGATGAGCAGCCGAATAGACTGAGGAAAATACACTCAGTATAGTCAATGTACTTACATGAAAATGGAGCAATGTAACTTGAGGGTATGGATAGGGTTGGGAAATATGGAGAACAATGGACAAGATACATTGATCAAAATGCATTGTACTCACAAACTGACTTGTTGAATTGAAACCCCTTTGTACAACTTCTTAAAGATAATAATAATAATAATAGAAACCAGGTGGCACTGGTGGCTCATGTCTAAACTCCTAGCTACTTGGGAGGCTGAGATGACTCAAAGCCAGCTGTACAGAAAGAAAAGTTCATGAGATTCCTTTTCAGCAAAGAGCTGGACATAGTGGCATGTACTTATTATTCTAGTTACCATGAAACCTGACTGATGGATTGTGTGCAGGTACATGCAAGGCAGAGGCCAGATCCTATCTCAAAACTACCAAGCAAAAATCAGTCTGGAGGCATGGGTCAGTGGTAAAAAGAGTATCCGTCTAGCAAGTGCAAGGACCCTAGTTCAAATCTCAGTACCACCCCAACAACAACAAAAAAGGAAACACTGGCTCAAAATACCAATTTCTAAGTATTAATAAAATGCAAGGGTTGGGTTTAATCCCTAGTGCTCCTCTCCCCCACAAAAAATTCACAAAGCACAGTCACTTAGATATTAAACATGTAGTAATTATGGTCCATGTACACAACCTTCTTTCTCTAAACTTCATGCAAAATTGGAAGCTTTTAGAAGTATGTATTACTCTGGGGGAGAGTCTCACACCAGGCTTGTGAGGGAAGGTGACTGTCAGAAGGCCACCATTTTCCATGGGATTTCCAACAGAGAATGATGATCAAGTAGTGCCAGTTGGGAATGTGGTTCCTTTGGAGTGAATCACCCTCCACCTAAGAGGTGGCACTTGATATAACTATAGCTTAAGGCTGATCAAGGACAGGCAACATCATGAGCCCAGTGGAATCTCTGCTTCCCCCTTTAATGAAATAACATGTCTAAGATTACTTGTGTTAACCAAAATTTCCTTTTTAGGAGAAGTCCTTGCTAGTTTTCATAAGCAAAGTATTTCAACATTAACCCTCATCAAGAAACAGTAAGAAACTAGGTAACTGGTCTGTCAGAAAAAAAAGTGAAAAGTCACAGTATCTGCCTTTCACCCTTTACATCACTCCTCTGTTCTGTTAAGAGTACAGGTCCCCAGCAATGGTCCTGGTAACAAATATTTGGCGCTGTATCTGACCTCTGAATGCAAGGCTCTAGCTTAGCTCAGCTCCCATAGCAATGAGCCAGAGCATGCCACCAGTAGAGAGAAGAGCAAGCACAGCTAGGCTCAAGGACACAGGAAGGAGTCATCCAGTAGGAACTTGGAGATGAAAAGCTGCTTCTGTTCTGGAGAAAGCCTTGTCTATCACACCACATGCTTGAGGTGATTCTTAAAACATAGTGCAAGACACAGGGCATCTAGCCAGGAGGACATCAATAGAGTATTAGAATCATTGTCCACTGCTCTGTCACAGTCTTTGTTAAGAGATGAGACAAGCTGGGCACTGGTGGCTCATGCCTATAATCCTAGCTACTCAGGAAGCTGAGATCTGAGCCCACTGTTCAAAGTCAGCCCAAGCAGGAAAGTCCATGAGACTCTTATCTCCAATGAACCACCAGAAAACCAGAAGTGGTGCTGTGGCTCAAAGTAGTAGAACGCTATCCTTGAGCTGAAGAGCTCAGGGACAACACCCAGGCCCAGAGTACAAGCCCCATAACTGATGAGAGAGAGAGAGAGAGAGAGAGAGACAGAGAGAGAGAGAGACAGAGACAGAGAGACAGAGAGAGATAGAGACTAAGACAAGATGTATTATATGATGCTGTGTTTTGGGTTTCCCATGGGTGAAGGGGGTTACAAGATGGACTAGGCAATACTTTTTGCTAAAATTAGAATGAGTACATATTAAAGTTTTATCTGTGGCCTCAAAAAGGGCTACTTTACCATCATGGGATTGTGAGTTAAAGGTCAATCGGAGTTACCTAGTTGTTATTTTTGTTTTTGGTTTCTGTCTCAAAAAAAAATTGAGAAGGCAGTATTATGTTGGGACATACATACCAGTTTCAGCATCCATGGGCTACCACGGCATGTAGCAAAGCAACCAAACAGGCCAAAAACAACGATAGTGGTGCCAGTTCCAATGAGCACGTAAGGAGCGTTGGTGGAGTTCTCAGCAATTAGGGAGATATAGGTGCCCAGCGTAAGTTTTCCCCAGACTCCAACGGCCAACAGGATCACCCCAGTGATCTGCAAAGGGGAGGAGGAGAGTGTGAAACCATAGCTAGGGGAGGTAAGAATTGAAATCAAGTAATGTGGCTACACGGAACACACAAGGTTCTGTGGGGAAGATGGTCCTTGCTGTAGGAATTCCCCGAGTAGTGAGAAATGTCGGAGATCATCACCTAAAACTCACAGAGTAAATGAAGGATTGAACTCCCCCTATTTCCCCAGGTGCATATAGACATCAAGCAAGCCACCAGATATGCTTAGACTGTTTGACACAGACAGGGCAATTCACCTAAGCCTGGCTGTAAATATTCCATTGTATGCCTAACTGAAAGCCCCCACTACCCTAGACCTAATGGCTTTTTTGGTAACCTCTGCCTCCTTGCTCAAGACCCCATTAAAGCCCAACTCCAACCCCACTTCTTTGCACAACCTCCATTTCAGGGGGAAGGTTGTACCCCTTGCTATTGTGCCTCAGTAAACAGTCCTAGCTTGTTGAAGATTGAGTCAGGCCTTTTTCCTTTCTCCTCCATTTTCCTAACAGTAAAGACATTTTGATTTTGTAAGTTACATCTGTCCCTTACATATCCCATATGCTGTTATTGTGTTAACCAGACAATAAGGAACCTAAAAACCACCACCACCAACAACAAATATTGCTGAAAAAGTATATCGTAAGACAGATCTGAGAGTCTTCCCCTAGCTGCTGCTGCTCCAGGAAGAAAGTCAGCTCCCCTCTTTGAAGGCATGTGTATATATAGGATATTTGAAGAACAGCTTACATGCTATTTTAAGAAGAGAGTTGATTCTCTTTGAGCATTATCACCAAAATCTCTATAAAACACAATATTTCAACTGCTTTTGAATCACTGTTGTGCGGTCATATTTACAATCGTTTATGCAATATAAAGCAACAAAAGAATGGGGATAGTTCTTGGAATTAGATGTAATATGATTTGTCAAATCCTGCTGAACAGTCCAAAGAAAATCTCTTAATAAACGGTCTAAACTCTAGAACCATGTATCAATCAGGTCTTTACTCAGGGCATAGTCTCAGTCATGCATGCTATGCCTTACCCTTCATCTTACACAGGCCTCAGACTCCAGCAACTTTGCTGAAACATGAGTTGCGTTATGTCTCTAATCATCCCCAGCTGATTTCTCCTTCAGTTTACTCATGGCTTGGTGACATGTAAACTCAAGTCTTCTGGTTGCTACCACTTCTGACAGTATGAAGCGTGAAAGAAACCCAAGTGTTCACTGAAGCCCTTCCCCAACTTTGCCCCACCCTAGAGTCCACCATCCCTTGTCAAATGCCTCCAATCCCTGCTTAATCTATTCAAGTAAAGAGGCAAGATGAGGTTGGGCGCGCTGGTGGCTCATGCCTGTAATCCTAGCTACTCAGGAGGCTACAATCTGTGGATTGAGGTTTGAAGCCAGCCCAGGCAGAAAAGTCCCCTGAGACTTATCTCTAATTAACCACCCCCAAACCGGAAGTGGTACTGTGGTTCAAAGTGGTAGAGCTCTAGCCTTGAGTAAAAGAGGTCAAGACAGTGCCCACAACCAACAACAATAAAAAAGAGGCAAGATGAAAACTGGAGAAAAATTGCCATGACACAAATCTATATCCACATTGCCAAAGTTTTCTCTGCCACTCAACATCCTGTCCCTTAATATCTATAATTGAACACTGCCAAATGCAGGTCAACTGTGGACCAAAAGGCATCGTCAGTGAAGATGCCTGAACATCTTTCTGCTCTACATTGAAAACACTTTCTCTAGTTTGGAGCCATCAAGTTCTATGCTCATAAAAAAGAATGCACCTTACACCTTTCCCTGTCTCAGGGAAGGATGAGCTCTACCTATTTGTGATGAAAGATCAGAAAACAAAAACCAAAAAGCAAAAGCTTACACACATACCCTCTTTGTTTCATAGGACCATCACCAAGAATGATAGTTTAAAATGTTTGCATCAGAGAAAGAACATGAACAAGTGCTATAAAGGTGAATGGTTGCATGCATTCTTGAAGAGAAAGCATTTAATACTGATATCGGGAGAAGGTGGCCCATGGAGGTTGATGGCCCATGAGGATGGCCTTAGTAAATGAAAACCAGAACACAGATGCTGCCAAGAGTTCCAAATCCTCTGCTGACATCTGGTGGTAGCTAAAAGAAGTAGTACCTTGTGTGAAAAGTCTGCTGGTAAAAACACAAAACACTTCAATCATTAGAATAGAAATGTAAGAACCAAATCACAAATAATTACTGACAAAAGTACCAGGAACACAACATAGAAAAATATACAGCTATCTTTTATTCAATAATCAAACTAGTACTGTCAAGGCACAGAGTAAATGCTTATTAATATGGACAAAATATACACTTCCTATCTTTGAGTCTTAGATCTTATACTTTATTAAATAATCTGTCAGATACTTACAAAACTTCCAAATCAGGTGAATAATGTGAAATAACTTTAAATAGAACCAGAAAAAAACACCTTTCCACACTAGCATTATTGTCTTAATTTGTAAATGTCATAATGCAAATATACTGGAAAAGTTCTGTCACTATTGAGGCTGAATGTATCTTATCTGCACTTTGGACTGCTCTCAAAGTTTCAATACCACTTTGTATATGTACAGAGTATACATAGTAGTATGTGTTTCCAGTTATTGTTTAAATATAATTGCTTTAGTGAAAATGCTAATGCTGAGAAGCCTCCCTGTTGACCTTGTAGCATCCTAATCCCTAGAGGATCCAGGGTTAGAGGGCTCACATCTTCCTCAAATAGTCCAGAACTATTTGCTTTATACCCACTCTTCTTTCCCCATGCAGAGCACAGACCTTTTTAAACTGATGTGGACACACTCATGCCATGCCAGGTTTGGGTCTGCGGCGATGTTCCTATTCCTTCCCTCTAAATCCATAAAACCTGATTCAGGAGTTCCACCTACAGATTCACATTATTGTAATGATAACATGAGTTCATATTTAGCACATTATACAACTAAAGAAAAGCTTTAAAGGCAAAAGAGGCACAAGATACCTAGAAGAGACCCTTTCTAAGAAGCCCTACAGGATCCAAACACTGCATCTAACCTGATCAAAAGAAACATGTGGAAGAGATGGTAGACAGAAACCTCAGCTAGACTTTGAGACACAAGCCTCAATTCAACCGTCCTGCAGGGTTACAAGCTAAGTCATCTTTCTCAACTATACATAGAAATATTGTGACATATCCCTTTCCTATTCCAGAAAAACTCAGAAAAAAATGCATGATAAAAGCTCCACACATACCACTAATAGTGAAAAGATCCCTCAAAGGTCAGATTTTAAGAAGAAAAGTAGCCAGCTAATTTTTTTAGAGGTACTTATTTCTGAATTCAGGACTTCATTCATACTCATTCAGCTTGCTTATTCGGCTGCTATTCTACCACTTGAGCCATAGTTCCAGCCCAGTTTTTGTAAAAATTTTTTGAGATGTCTTGTGGACTTTTCTGCCAAGGTTGGCTTTGAACACAATTCATTAAATCTTGGCCATTTGAGAGGCAAAGATACTATGTATGAGCAGCTGACATCTGTTTTGTTTTGTTTTGTTTCTCCAGCTAATACTTATGTGAATGTGTCTACCAAGTGGACAGTAGAGTAATTTTGAAAGGTGTGGTACCTGGTTTTGTAGAGATGGAGAAAGCAGCTGGAATGACAAAGAAACTTGTATAATCTACTGATACCTTCTTCACACTTATCAAAATAATAGTGTGCATTCCTCATATTTATGATTTTGAGTTTTCATCCCAAGTTATCTTTGCGTATGTGGGCTTGAGAACTCACTGGTAGGATAAGGGGCAGAAAAGTACATGAACGTTAGATCTCTCTGGTCTCGGGGCTACGAAGCAATGCTTGTAGTTCTGTCACTAGCTGAGTGAACTTTGACCATATTACTGGACCTCGGTTTCCCCTTCGGTAAGAGTAGAACGTAGGAAGGGTCCCGCTTCATCTTCCCAGCTCTATGTGGAATGACAAATCTGAATTTCAGACTTGACACACTCCTTCTGCAATAAATTTCGCATGTACCTTTCTGTAAACAAGGACAGGAAATTTATGAGGTTTGCTTTGTGACTAACAAAACAAACATTAATGACAGAGAAGGGAAGTCAGCTCACTTTCATACTTGAAGGTAGTTTCTCTAGCTTTCTGAGGTGGCACCAGGCTACCAATAAGAGAGGGAAGGAAGACTGCCTGGGGGGGGGGTCTTGCATTTTTGCACAGATATCCAAAAATGTATATGTTTACTAGCCTAATCAAAGCTTTCCCTTTTACATTAAGAAGACTGTTACCATTCTGAAGACTAAAAGCAACAAGATGACTTATTCTACTGCGTCTTTCTAGGTTGAGTTACTTTGGTAATTTCAGCACAGGCTCCATCATTTTGGGATCAGTGTACATTTGCCACACTGTGTTTGTAGAAAAGAGTACATGATGGTATCATTACCAAGGGACAGGGAAGCAGAAAAGGAGATCATCTTAATTGCTGCTTGGTTCAAGCTGAGTTTGAGAACCAACAGGCAATTCAGAGATGATCTTGCCTAGGCCCTATTTTCTGTGGGGTTTGAGGGGATCCGAAGCCTGATAGATAACATGCTCAGACGGTAGTTGTATATGAGAGTCTGAAGTTCAGGAGTGAGTCATAGCTGCAGGTGAAGCTGTGGGCAGAGGTGACAGCTAAGGGAACTTTGTTGTCTCAGCAAGATCCTTAATGGAGGAGAATGATGTTGGAAGACTGGAAACAATAAGGAGACACAGAATGGAGTAGACAAGTTTATGAAGGAAAGAGACATGGAAGAGTCTTTTCAAAGACTTATCGGAGGAGTTAGAGGCGTGGCTCATTTGGTAGTGCACTAGCCAATGAGCAAAAGCATCAAATACCAAGTTCAAGTCCTGGTCTGGGACCAGAAACAAAATAGAAAAGACTTATTGGAAATAGCTCATTGACCCAAAGGATATTTGTGAGCTAATAC